CTACAACTAGGAGGAAAGAGAATATCATACCCAGACTCAGAGGAGGCGCAGTGCTGAAGTGAAATACTCAGGTGCGGAGTGTGCGCGCGGAGCGGGCTGGCGGCGGAGGGCGCGGTTGTTGTTTTCAATCGGGAGGGAGTTTCAGACTCTGAGCTCCAGATCCGGGCGAGTCTCTGGGGACCGAGACTCAAACGGGAGAAACGGGACTGTCTGGCTTCGGTCGGAACTCGAAGGCAGCTTTCTCTCCGAGGTTTGCAGCCATTGCTGGGGCTCTGAGAGGCAGAGCCCCTGGGGAAGGAACTGAGAGTCGCCATAACTGCTCGTTCCGCCCGCCCTGTAGATCCCCGGGGACCCGCCCCGCCCAAGCCCTGCGCAGCGCCATTTGCCGGATAGCCTCAGGCAAACGCTAGATTAGCACCGCCCTAGAGATCCAGCACAGAAGCCCTCCCACTACAGACACAGCAGACTCTCATAGCCAGTTAGCCTGGAGGTCAAATCACCCCGGTATTGCCGACATCAATCAAGGCTTAAAGGCAACAAGACTGCGGACAAAGACCACTAGGGGGTGCACCAAGAAAGCATAAAAAATGCGGAGACAAAGAAACAGGACAAAACTGTCAATGGAGGATATTGAGTTCAGAACCACACTTTTAAGGTCTCTTAAGAACTGTCTAGAAGCTGCTGATAAACTTAGTAAGGCCCTCAAAAAGACTGGTGAGACTGCCGATAAATGTAGTGAGATCCTCAAGAAATCTAATGAGACCCTCGATGTTGTGATAAAGAACCAACTAGAAATTAAGCATACACTGACTGAAATAAACAATATTATACAGACACCCAACAGCAGACCAGAGGAGCGCAAGAATCAAGTCAAAGATTCGAAATGCGAAGAAGCAAAAAACACCCAACTGGAAAAGCAAAATGAAAAAAGAATCCGAAAATATGAAAATAGTGTAAGGAGCCTCTGGGACAGCTTCAAGCGCACCAACATCAGAATTATAGGGGTGCCAGAGGATGAGAGAGAGCAAGATATTGAAAACCTATTTAAAGAAATAATGACAGAAAACTTCCCCCACCTGGTGAAAGAAATAGACCTACAGGTCCAGGAAGCGCAGAGAACCCCAAACAAAAGGAATCCAAAGAGGACCACACCAAGACACATCATAATTAAAATGCCAAGAGCAAAAGACAAAGAGAGACTCTTAAAAGCAGCAAGAGAAAGAAAGTCAGTTACCTACAAGGGAATACCCATACGACTGTCAGCTGATTTCTCAACAGAAACTTTGCAGGCCAGAAGGGAATGGCAAGAAATATTCAAAGTGATGAATACCAAGAACCTACAACCAAGATTACTTTATCCAGCAAAGCTATCATTCAGAATTGAAGGTCAGATAAAGAGCTTCACAGATAAGGAAAAGCTAAAGGAGTTCATCACCACCAAACCAGTATTATATGAAATGCTGAAAGGTATCCTTTAAGAAGAGGAAGAAGAAAAAAAAGGTAAAGATACAAATTATGAACAACAAATATGCATCTATCAACAAGTGAATCTAAGAATCAAGTGAATAAATAATCTGGTGATCATAATAGAATCAGGGACATAGAAAGGGAATGGACTGACTATTCTTGGGGGGGAAAGGGGTGTGGGAGATGTGGGAAGAGACTGTACAAAAATCGTGCACCTATGGAAGAGGACAGTGGGTGGGGAGTGAGGGCGGAGGGTGGGGCGGGAGCTGGGAGGAGGGGAGTTATGGGGGGGGGGGAAAAGAGGAACAAATGTAATAATCTGAACAATAAAGATTTAATTAAAAAAAAAGAAAGAAAAAAAAATAAAATAAAAATATCACAGACTTAAAAAAAAAAAAAAAAAAAAAATAAATGCCATTTAACAAAGAAAAATCAACCAAAAAAATGAGTTTGCTTGTCACCTCTGACACGCATGTCATAGGTTCGCCATCACTGTTCTAGGTGATAGCAGTAGCCCTTTGGGTGTCCTCACTGCTAGTCTTCTGCCTTCCAACTCCCCCACCCATCCCACCCACCACCACTACCCCACCCTCTTAAGCTCTAAAATATCTGTAGTATTGTTTAAGGTCACTGACGGTCAAGCCCTCATTTGCCTGTTGGAACTTGCTTTCTGCATCCCCTCTGAATGTGTAATACCTTAAGGAAAATGGATTTTATGCTGTTCCCTTTAGCTGGAGTTTCTCTCTTTCCTCGGAGTTCCTATAATCACTTTATTTCTTATTTCTACTGTTGAACTTACCACAGTCTACCAGGCATCTGTGTTAGGCCTTTTTTCCTTCATTAAAGCGTCATCTCCACAAGGGCCACAAGCATCTTTTCTCTTCTTCTTTTAATTGCATCAAATGGGATCCTTCAGAAAATGTTTTTCAACTGAGCCGAATGTTATGTCAAACAGAATCAGGTAGTATACTGCCCCGACAGGCTGGAGTTATCAAGAGCAGATTAATGAGGGCTGTAAAGTCAAGGTGGCTGTTCATAAGCAGAGAACTCCAGGAGGGTGGGGCTGGAGCGGGTAGCAGGCCTGGAAACAAGTGAGGCAGAAGGATCTTTTCTTTTTGGGCACAAGGTGGCAGGCTATGCCCATGTCAGTCACCACATATAAGGCAGCTTTGTGAGGCTGATATTTTCTGTCCTATTTTGGAAATGCATGTTTTTTTAAAAAAAAAAAAAAAAGCAAAGCTCGTGCAGCATCATGGCTGAAACCCGGGTGTAGCTGAAGCCCAGACCCGAGCAGACCGGCCTCTGTGCTTCCAGGTCTCGGCGCCTTCCAGGTTGGACTCCTGCCCAAGCCCCACAGTAACGCACTGCAGATTTTGAAACATTGAATTTCCCTTAAAAGGATGAAGAAAATGTGAATAAATGTGCATGAACGCTCAAACTGGGAGAGAGGAAATACTATTTGACCAGAGGGTTGAAACGCAGTTTCTCCACTAGATAGCAGACGAGGACAGACGGCCTGCGGAAGGTCCTGCCTATAAACCCAAAGAAAGCATTCATTTTCTCTAGAAGCTCATTTTTTCCCCTTTAAAACGCCAAGTGTTTTTCATGTGTTCAGACCATTCACATGTATCAGTCTGATATAATCTGGGATATAAGTAGCAGCTTTACTTCAATTCATGTGTATGCAATTACAATTCAGATACAGTTTCCTTCACTTCATTCATTGCCTCTAGTTGTGTGTGTGTGTGTGTGTGTGTGTGTGTGTGTGTGTGTGTGTGTGTGTGTTCGTGCACCAAATTGTCTTTTATTAAAAAAAATTGCTAGGAATAGTTTATTCTGGAATTCTGCCTAAGTTATTGGGTGATATGTTAAGTCTTTCCATTAATACTGATTTCTGTTATACTTGGAAGATGGAGAATAAATTAGGGGGAAAAGATAATCCTTGTTTTCAGGTTCCCTTATCATTTCGTTCAGGTTCTTTTTCTCTTTGTGTGGAAGTGAGGTAGAAATGAGAACATGGTGATTTGTTTCTGTGCCGGAAGCCAGTCCTTGCTGCTTGACACAGTCGCTGCAGGGAAGAAACATCTGCACAGCATATGTTTCAAGGAACCTGGCACATATGGCATACTGTTCTTAATATGTTTCCTCCCCCTCTTAGCCCTATGTGTTTTAACCAGGGCCACCTCCCTGAGAAAGGTTGTTTCCCCAGGTGGGGATGTTGGGGATTGACGGGACTGGAGTTGGGGATTGACGGGACTGGGGAGGGGAATGAATCAGTAAAACCCCCTAGTGTTACAGAATACCATGTACTACTTATGAAGAACTTGGACTAAGACTGTTGGCAATAAATTTGGGACTTGTTGGGCCCACATCCCCAGGGGTCTGCCCACCAGGGAAAGCACCAAGGCCTATACCCCTGGAGACCCACCAACACAGGGCAGTCCCAGGGAAGGCAAGCAGCGAGGCTGGGAACACATAACCTTTACTGGGTAGGATAATCTCCTTCAGTCACTTCCTTGTAGTTTATCAGTAGAGCAGTAGAATAGTGACCTTGGAATAGCCCTTATAATGGAACACAGAGATTAACCTAGACAAGATTAAAATCAACAGAATTAGATAGAGACAGGATTTTTGGCAAAGGTCAGATAAGAAACTATGGACATGAAACAAGGAACTGTAGAAGGTTAAGGGAGGACCCAAAACATACCATTATGTGACTATAGAGGCATGCTTATTGGATCAAATGGTATAAATACAGATGTAACAGGACAATAAATAGAGAACCTGGCTATGCTGATCAACTGAACGCTGTCTCTGTGTCATTCATTCTTTACCAACTCCGTCTACACCTTTGGGAATCCCTGGACCTGCTGGGGCTGGACCCCAACATTTCTGGAAATACCATTTGCCTTCTGTGAAGCTGGAGATGTGCAGCAGAAGAGAGTGCAGCAGGCTGAGCAACAGGGTATGTTTGCCAGAGCAAAGGGCCTTCAGAGAAGAGGGAAACGCTGGCTTAGGCAGCTCGCGAGCTTTATTCAGCAGGTGGACTTCACAGCACTGCCTTTGCCAGGCGCAGGACTAAGCTGTTGTCTCTGAAATGAACCGCCAGAGCCAACAGACTTTTCTTATTGATCATTTATTACAGATTACGATATGAGAGATACTGTTTGTTTTCCTATCTGCAGAGCAACAGCAAGAGAGGCTTGACATTCACAAACTACTTTTAAATGACGCCTATTCAAATACTACCTATTCCATAAATCCTTAATGATTTTTTCCCTTAAAAAAGCATCATGATTTTCAATAGAATTTCATAAAGCATCGTAACGTTGGAGAGAATTTCATACCATGACCATAAACATAGCCACAGTTCTGTCCAAGAGGCTGCGTTTCTAGACTTCCTCCGCTCCCTGCCCCACCCCTCTTCACCTTCACCCGGTCCGCTACTGGGTGGCCCTCCTTCACGGTCAGGTCAGGTCAAGTCGGGGGTGTCTGGGGATTTGAACTTGATCCTGCTGGGAGTTCCTAGTGGCCTAGTCCCCATCGCTCTCGCTGGAGCTGGTGCTGTCAGAGGAGTCACTGCTGCCGTGCTTTCTGGGGGGCCTCACCCTCCTGCTGGGGTGGGATTTTCTGTGAGCCCAGGAGCCCCTTCTCCGCGGCAGACCCTGACCCCAGGTGGAGCTGTTCTGCCTGTGGGGTCCGTACTGATTTCTCCCACTGTGTGTGGGTACAGTCCCTTCATTATTGGGGTCACTGTGGGGACCTCTTTCACTTTTAATGTCATTGTCAAGGCCCTGATGGGGAATGAGCTGGCCTGGGCTTTTGCTCTTATTAGGAAACCTTTGCTTTTCACTCGCGGTCACTTGGTTCCTGTTAGAATGTTCCGTACCTTTCCTACTCCCCCCTTTGCCATTTCTCGGGATTTCATTATAATTCGTACTTTCAGCAACGTCGCGACTGCCTTCTCTTCTTTTCTCTTTTGGGGGTACATGAGGGTAATGAAACTCCACTTTCCCTTGGTGAGCATTTTGGCCGCCTGCATCCACTCTGTTTCCTTCTTTTCCAGGGAGTTCCCTGAAATTGGTGCTCCCTGTGATGTCGTTGCTGCCCCCCACGAGGCTGACATCGGCGGTGTTTGCCTCTCGTGCTGTTTCACCCCGGGTTCCAATGGCACTTCTGCCATCTTCTGCTCTCTCTGGGATTTCGTTATAACCCGGGCCTCCTGCTTCGGGGTCAGTGGTCTCTGCTTCCCCCGGGCCGGAAAGCTCTGTTTGAATATCTGCACCCTCCAGGTCAGGACCCATAGCTTCTCCTTTACCTGAAACGTCCTTAAAAGGCTGGCCATCTCCACTGAAAGGAGAGATACCGTCCCCCCTCTCTTGAAGATCTGGATAACCGCTGCCTTCGAAATCGCTGGGGATTTTTTTGAGTGTGGGGATCTGTTTTAGATAGTCTGTGTTGTATTGGATGTGGTGCGTGCTTTTGCCTTTGGCTGGAATATTGGGGGCTTGCGGATCTCTTTGATGATTCTTCTTACCTTTTGAGGGGGCTTTAGCATGGTTTGCACTTGCTGGAATTTTGCTTGGAACATTCCTGGGTTTGATATCTTTGTTTTCGTCCCCTAATGGCTCAATCACAGCTCCTGGTGCCATTATAAGTTGTGTATTATTTCTGGTGAGAGCTGCTCTGTATTCTTCTTGGTCATGAAGTCCGCTGAGAGCATCCTCTCCATCCTCAGACCCGTTATTCCCAGTGGATGCGGGGTAAATGGGCATCTGTAGGTCATTGTGGGCGTTATCTTTGTGACTAATACTATAGTCTTCATTTGTTGTCTGTCTATTTTCAAAAAGATTTGGGGATTTACTAATTCGGTTGTTGTTATCAGCTCCAAAGAGGGACACGTCTCTCTCTCTCTCTTGGGCAGTGCTGTCTCTAGGTGCTGGCTCTTTATTTCTTCTCTTGCCGGAAAGGTGGAGAGCGATGTTGTCTTTGTTTCTTTCTTCCTGGCAAAGTGTAATTTTTAACATAAAGTGATTATTTTATGTTAACTTTTAAAAATCGAATAATTCTTAGGAGACATATATTTAAAAAAAACAAACCAGATTCTTAATACAAAGATTCTATTAACTCAAGAGAGGTTTGTTAGTAGAGCTAACTCTGGAATGGCCAACGCAGGTTTTATGGAGAAAGAGGGATGAACAAGGTTTGAAGGAGGGGCACGATTCAGATACATGGAAGGGAAGTGGTGAGAATATTTTAAGAATAAGTTTGCATATTCAAAGGTTTGAAACCAGGAAACATTTGAAAGATACTGTGAATAACACTATAAGTTTAGAGTTGAGAAATCCTACAGAAGAGAATAAGAAATAAATTTGGAAATGTAGATGATTAGGGCCTGATTTTGAAGGAAGACAGTGTGGTCTTCATCTTGTGACTAATGAGTCATTGCAAGTGACACAGAGCTCATATTTTTAAAACTATTCTCTCCCCTATTCTCATATTCTTCTCTCTCTCTCTCTCTCTCTCTCTCTCTCTCTCTCTCTCTCTCTCCCCCCTTCTCCCCTCCCTCCCTCAAATATAGTACTGTTCTACTTGAAGGACTGCTTGGTTTTATACATGTACTTTATAAATGTTAGAAGCAGTGAGGAAATTGTTGCATCAGCTCACACTTGAATCTCAAGATAAAAATGGCTTATGGACATGCCCTCTTTTCTTATGAAGCTGGCTAATATGCAATATACAAAAGTTCCAAATTTTAAGAGCTAATATGAAATGATTTATTTGAGGAGTTTTAACATCATTATTCACTAATCTTTTATTTGGCAGGTATATTCTGAAAATAAGAGTTTGCAATTAGGAAAAAATATAATAGAAAAAACTTTACAGTGAGTTGTTTTTAAGTAAGAAGTATTTTATTTTTTAATATATATTTTTATTGATTTTGGAGAGGAAGGGAGAGGGAGAGAGAGATGAAAACATCAATGATTTGAGAGGATCATTGATTGGCTGCCTACTGCACGTCCCCCACTGGGGATGGAGCCCACAGCCCGGGCATATGTCCTGACTGGGAATCGAACAGTGACCTCCGGGTTCATACATCAAAGCTCAATCACCAACCCATGCCAGCTTGGCAAATAAGAAGTATTTTAAACATTTGACTTATTTTAAGACATTAAATCTTGGCAAGTTTTACATGGACATTTATATTTCCCTTTGCAATCAAGTTTGTTTGCTTATTGCTAGTTATTCTTTTGAGTTTAAGCAGGTGCATTAGAAAATCATTAGATTATAATAATTCCTTCTTACCTTTCCTCCCTCTGTATTCTGCAGTGAGAAGTTTTATTTTACATTTAGTGCTTTTACTGCTTTTAAAGCAGTAGCAGATATACTAATGAATTCTGTGCGTTTTACTAAAGACTGAACAGAGTTCTTTTATGAGTGAAAACATAAAACAACTTTTAAATTGTTTTGTGTGGTGCTCAATTATTTTTGCACTTGCTTGTGTTAACTGATTGCCTGATGGTTGCACTGTTGACTGTGTGATGATCTCTGTGTCAGCTGGCTGCTCTGCTTTCCTCTGCTCTGTTTCTCTATCTGTGCACCTTCACTTACACTGTTCTTTTCGTGGATATGGCCTCTCCCAGCCGCGTGCTTGCTCAAATCCTACTCATCCTCCACAGCTCAATTACTCCCATGACGTACTTTTCCCTGAACACCCGGCTAGGAACTAATCTTTTTCTAATCCAAGCCCAGAAGCACACTATTCTAACTACCTCTTATGTAGCACTTTGCACATTCTGTCTGGGGTTAATGATTTTTGTAAGTGCCATTTGTTCCCTTTATAATTCTAACGTCCTGGAGAGAGAGAATTAAGTTCTCTCAATCATTTCATTTCACATAGCATCTTGCACAGTAGGAAGTGCTCAATACATAGGTGTTCCAACAAGTAAGTTTAACAGGAAGTTAGTCTTAGAGATGCATCTGCAGAATATCAAGCAGAACAAAACAACATTCTGAAGGGAAACTACAACTTTCATGGGAAGTGAAGCCAGATTTGGGGAAAAGTAAGTAGTCCTTTTTGCTGATGGCATTTTAAGCTGTGTCCAGCTCCTTGGCCAATGAATTTATAAGAAGGAACTGAATGAAAAGAATTATTGTTCCATTCCAGAGACAAGGCCCTTATTCTTTCTCTTCTGAACATCCTGACACAGATGGCGTCCTCTGTGCAATGCATTTAAGGGACATTAGAAGGTGTCACTCTTTAGGCCAAAATGACCTCTAATCCTCACCGTTAGAGCATATAGTACCAGAAAACCTCCCCATAAAACACCAAACATTAATCAGAAGCAATAAACCAAAAATAATTTCATGGTTGTCCGGGGTCCACCAGTACCACACCTGGCTCGACAGGTCCTGAAGGAGGGCAAGGTTTGGGCCAGGGCCTTGGGTGGCCCACCAGTGTCAGGAACACAGAGTCCCACAGCACAGCCGCCTGAGGAGCCTGGGGTGTGAGGGAAGGACAAAGGCACCAGCCGCAGACCAAAACCCCAGAGCAGGAGAAAAGCAAACTCTGTCCCCCTAGAATTTGTCATAGTTTGACTCCTGATAAGGATCATCACTCAGAAATTCAGCTTACCTTTATGTCCGTTTGATTTTTCCTCCCAGGTGATGTGTAAACATACTTGAAAATATAATACCCATGTTTCTCATGGTGACCCTTGTAGGTGACCTACAAAAATACAACATTCTATTAAGATGGGTTTATCTCTGACTACGAAGTTTCCTGGCTCTCTTTTTGATAGTACAGATATTTTAAAATTTGGGCGAAGTTTAATTCTGCCTCTCACAAATGGCAGTTCTTCCTATAACCACAGGAGGGCGTGTGTCCACCAGTCCCTGAAGATAGCCTGTTTCTTTCTTTTCTGCATGTCTCTAAATCCTTTTTCCTTAAGGATGACTATCAACTTCCCTCTCTCCCTGGTGTATCAATTTGATGACCACATTTCAGTGGAAATGGAGCACTTGGAATATTTTCAGGTGGGAGGGGGCAGGGGATTAGAAGAAAAGCAGATTTTACAATATACATGTCTGATGTCAAATTGGCAAAACTCGCAGCATGAAAATCCAGGCTCTTAAATTTGCAGTTTTTGCCTTTGTATTTTCAACCGAGACAGAGAACAGAACATTGTTAGTTCTTGGAAGGGAATTTTCGGAGACTGCCAGAAGAAGCCCTGGCAGGCAGGAGTAAGCTGCAATTTGGTGACCTGAGAAGCGGAGGGGGCTTGTTTAACTTTCTGGATGTAGACGGAAACTCACTCCAAGTAAACAGAACTCCCCTTATGGCTCATCCATGCTCTTTCCTTTGTTTTCTCCCTCATTTATTGCTCTGTTCTCCTGTACACGTGTGGAAAATGGTGTTTGCTAATAACAATATCCCAGGATTTTTACTAGCTTATCCCTCTGAAAGAAGAACTCATATTGAAGATAAATCTCCAGTTAGAATGCTTTTCTCTTTTCTGTCACACACCGTGACGGAATTAAAGTGCCAAAGTTATGGTGTATGGTTTTGTGCTTTCACCGTAAGTACACAAGACTATTTCTGATGGTTAACATTTCCTCTGACTGACTTTTTCCTTTACAGAGCTGAAATGGATTTATTTGAGAAGAATAACTCTGTTTACCCTCTGTTCTTCCACACAGTCTTGCCTAGTTTTCTCAGCCTGTGGTTGAACCGTCTGAAAGGAAACAAGAAATAAAACTTCACCAAACATCCATTCTTTCATTCATGTCTTCAAATAGCAAATCTTTTCTTTTTCCCTCACTGGGTTGTACCACTCGATGTGGGAAATCATCCTGACCAGAAAGGATGGATACACTCAGCACGTTAATATTTGTCTCAGTGCTACAAGCGGGTGCCCGCACACCTCCCCCACAGGGAGACGATGCCATCGCCATTACAGAACAACACTGTTGCATAAATTCGGTAATGGTTCCCGGCCAGTGTGGCTCAGTAGCTGAGCATCAACCTATGGACCAGGACAGTGGTCGGCAAACTCATTAGTCAACAGAGCCAAATATCAACAGTACAACGGTTGAAATTTCTTTTCAGAGCCAAATTTTTTAAACTTAAACTATATAGGTAGGTACATTGTTATTAACTTAATTAGGGTACTCCTAAGCTGGCCTTTGCTAAAAACGTCCTCAATCCCCACTTCTTCTAACGCCGCTTCTTCAAAATAGACTCTCCCAGGCCGAAAACCGACTTCTGCGCATGGGCCACGAAGTTTCAATCACACTGTACGTGCGTGCCCGCACGTGGTATTTTTGTGGAAGAGCCACACTCAAGGGGCCAAAGAGCCGCACGTGGCTCGGGAGCCGCGGTTTGCCGACCACTAAACCAGGAGATCACAGTTCAATTCCTGGTCAGGGCACATGCCTGATTGTGGGCTCGATCCCCAGTGGGGTGTGTGTGCAGGAGGCAGCCGATCAATGATTCTCTCTCATCATTGATATTTCTCTCTTTCTTTTCCTCTCCCAATAAAAATACATTTAAAAAAATTCAGTAATGGCTTTGTGAGTTCAGATAGGCTGCCGCTGGTTATCCTGCAAGAGTAAAGCCACGGCCCTGCATGGAAGGGGAGGTACCACACCTGAGGATGGGACTTTATCGTGCCAGTCACCTGGGCAGATATTTCTTTCAGGGAAAGGAAAATGGTGCAACCTGCAGATTGGGACAAAATACTTCTCTTGGGGTAAGAGAAAGGCCAGAAACTAAAAAGACATAGACCCAGGGATCTTGTTCCAAGTTTTTAGGGTAAAATTTAGGTGTCACAGGAGAGCATGCAGAAGAAGACCTGAGAATTCTAGAGCGAGCTCACCATGGAAGCAACGGGTATACCAATTCTTTTAGTCTTGGTATTTTTATTTCCTTATTTATTTCTGAAATTCCTGTTATCTCAGATTTGGCCAGAGGAGCCAATGGGTGGGGCTGGTTTGTGTTTGACTGTGTATGCTGAAGGGGAAACGGGCATAATGGTGGTGCCAGTCATGTAAGAGAGAAAACCCTTTAGGGAAAGAGAGTATTATGCCTGACTAAGCCTTAGAATTCTGTATTTCCCAGCAGTAAGATATGAGCAGTAATCCTGCTTGCTTTCAGATACCGTACTTCTGCTCTCTCTGTGATGATCCCTACGCATGACATTTTCTGAGTTACTTTGCCATCTGGCTCTAGTCTGGGCTTGGCTGATGGGAGACGCACCTGAGACTGAAGGGTAGGAGAGGCCAAGGTATGTCCTTCCCTGCTCTCCCCATTGGGCTGCATCTCTAGGATTGGATGCGTCTCTTTTGGGGCCACCACGTCCTTCCTTGTCCCTCCAGCCCAAGGCCGTCTTCATGTTGCTCCATCACCCTTGGTTGGCCCTTTCTGTTCATCCTGTCCTTTGTAACTACTCTCCAAATAGAACCCTCCCTACTGAAATCCCTGTCATGAATTCTGTTTTCCTGACTGAACCCTGACTGACGAAATCATCTTAGAAATAAACTCAGAACGTTCGTCAAAGTGCTCTATTGGCTGAGCTATAAGGCAGCTCTGCTTGACATGCCATTTCATTCTAGAAACAACAAAAGTTAGCCAACTATAGATACAGAGAACAAACTGGTGGCTGCCAGAAGGGAGGAGGTAGAGGGACGGGCAATATAAGTAAAGGGAATTAAGAGGTACAAACTTCCAGTTATAAAGTAAGTCAGGGACATGTACAGCCTAGGGAACATAGGCAATAATATTGTAATAACTTTGTATGGGGACGGTCTTTTTGTGGTGATCATTTTATAATGTACCAAAGTATTGAATCACTATTTTGTAAACCTGAAACTAATATAATATCGTATGTCAATTATAATCCAACCTTTAAAAGACAGAGAAATACACATTAAATAAATATTGAAATACAATTTTATACTCAGTGGATGGGGATCTAGAAGGAAGGGTAGTATGATACATATTGGTGGTGAGAATATGAAGATGTATAGCACTTGGGGAAGAAAATATGGCAATATCTAAGGGAAAAAAACCAGTTCCTTCTACTCAATACTTCTATTCTTAGAAATCTGTCTATTATAGAAAATAAAAGTACAACCCTTGCTCATAAAAATAAAAGCACAAATTTGTATGAAAAAAATACATTGTCGATGACACCTTATATTTATATGGCGCTATACAGTTTGTAAACTACTTTCCTGTAAACAGTCTCATCTGATTTCCGTAATAATCCCTGTGAGAAAGGAAGCAGAGAAGCAGAATGGCCTACACTTACACAGCTGGTCCCACTAGTGCAAGTTAAGGAGATATTTTGGCCTAAAGCCTCTGCCTCAAAGTCCCAGGGTTAAAATAATAAATTTCTAAATGGCCTGATATATGGGAAAAAACATATTTAATAACAAGAGGTAATGTTCCTATACTTCATATTAAGTACTTTCAGGCATCTTTTATCATTTTATCTTTTATTGCCTTTTTTATGTTGGTTCTTAAGTGACCTTGTGCATTTACATTTAGATCTTTGCATCATTTCTCCAAAAATGTCAAAACAGTGAAAACAAATCTGGAAATGGGGCTCCAGGAAGGAGAAAGCATCAAAATTAGATGATTAGATACTAATTTTAAAAAGAAATGACAGTTTGTGGTATTTGGCATCGTCTCAGAGAACATAACACATGCGCATGTATTAAAAACATACTTGATAGGATAGAGTACCTTAATGTAGTTCACAATCATAAGCCTGAACTTATAACAGAGCGACTTATCACAAAGTTGTTAGAGTCAAGTGCAATTGATGAATATTAATTAAATTACATGGCCCAATAATCAATCTTTTCTTCCATTTTTAAATTTTGTTTTTGAAGGAAACCAGAATATGACTCCCACATATACCTCTTTGACATAAAAAATTATTCTGAGCTGAAGGCAATTAAAAAGTAGTGAGGAGAAAAAGTTCCTCCTCTTCTGTCTAAAGGCAGAAAATAAATTCTCCTTTTACTACAAAGAGACTTTTACCATCCAGAACCCACACCTGAGGAATGTGCAAGCAAACCTTGTTAAACTAACCCCAATGCTCTTACTTGAGGACAATAAGGTCTCCCTACCCTAGCTGGAGTACCCATAGTCTAAACCTTTTTGTCTTGTCAATGCTTCACAAATGTATTGTTTCTTTGTCTAAAAGATAAAATAAAAGCTTCCTCCCCTAGTCGCTTCTTCAGTTCTTCATTCTCTTATAAAGGCTCCCAGTACATATAAAAATTCAATAAAACTTGTATGCTTTCCTCCTGTTAACATATCTTTGTCAGTTAATTTTTCAGACCTTGCCAGGAACCCTGGAAAAGTCGAGAAAACATTTTTTTTCCTCCCCTACAATTTGAATCTGGATTCTAGTTCCAAAACATATGTAAATGACTCAATATATGCCAATTTCTGATAACACCAAACTATTATTAACTAATTTAGATAAATGCTCAAATAGAATCTTATATATCTGGGAGAAAATATCATATTTAGCCATATAGCCATTTATAATTCCAAATTTTGTTTCTATGTCTTTGCAAATCCTCTTTCATTTGAAATTTGCACCCCTCCCCTCTCCCCCGATACCCACTTGGCAGCTCTCCTGTGCATGAATGTGGCCGTGCAATGGAGATGGCATTGTCTCCCACTGGGGAGGAACTCTGGCACCTGCTTTTGACCAGTGGTCACTGGATTGATGTTGACATAGCACATTTACTGGAAAATGGTTGGAGAGTGCCACTCCCACTGTTCCTTGGACCGTGCTGCTCAAAATAGATTCATCCTGGGCTGGTGGGATTGAGCTGGGTCAGCAAGACCCACTTGACCCCCATCATGCCTAAGCACATGCCTGGTGGCCCTGATTGAGCTGAGCCATGTGGATTGGGCCTGGCAGATGTCTATTTTAAGCAGCACGGCCCCCACAGGTCTGCTGGAGGCTGTCAGCTGAGAGGGGACAAGCTTTTCTCAACTTCTGCTGTCCTCATCCGATGACATGGTTCATGCTTGTCAGCGGGTAACCCAATTGGCCACCCACTCGCTCAGGACCTATATTTAAGGACTTCTGGTAACAGAATGACCGCTGGTTTCCATGGTTCTCCAACGGAAAGGTTACTCTGGGAAGTTCGGATGCTTTCCAGACATTATCTAATTGGCACCGCGTCTGCATTGCAGAAAATATCGGTAACGCTCAGCATTCTCACAAGATAATTTAGTCACATCCTGAGGACTCATCTGGGTGAATCAGAGGGGAAAAGAGACACAAAGGAAATTGGAGCTTGATTTGGGGTAAACATGGGGCACTCCCTCCCATCTTTAGCCTCACTGGTGAAGAGAAAATCATGACCAGGATCTCACAGTGTTGAGGTGTTACAAGAATTACAGGAAAGCTCTGCTCCTTTTGTGTTGCCATATATTTACAAAATCTAGCTGTTTAGCCTTAAAATATTCAAGTCATTTTTTTTCTATTTTTAGTAAGATATTGAAAAGTTCTTTTGACATGTTGTAATTTGGGTCTCTGAGCCTTTTCTCATTAGTGTTAGCTGATTTGAAACACTGTGGCTGGCTCTTGCTTTTCTCAAAAGTACTCTTTTTGGTGTTTCCTGAAAGGCAGTGTGTGGACGTGCTGAAATTCAGCACTTGTTCATTGAAGGCCTCCTTGGGGGAGGCTTTGGTGTCTAGTGCTGGATGCTTTCTTTTTGCTTCATTATCACTGAACTAGGTAAGCGTTACTAACTTGAAAAGACATTGCTTAAGAGAAAAATAGGTAAAAAGAGCAATAGGTTTTATGACGCGCAACTAAAATGGGAAATGCTTACTGGTGCTGCCCAGGTCAGATGGGATAGAAGCAGTCCCAAGCAGACAATTTGCATCTTTGAGAATCTCTGTAAAAAGACAATATATTTTACCTTAAAGCATTGTCAATTACAAACTGCAGTTCTAAGAAGTAATATAATACAAAAGCATATTCAAACACCCTTCTCCTAGAAGTCCTTTTTTAATTAAAAAACAACAAACTAGGTATAATTTACTTATACCCATGTGTGGATACTTTAATGAAAGTGCTTTCATATGTCTAATTATTCCATGTGAAAATGAAAATTGTCCAATATTATTTTTTTTAATTTTTATTTTTTAATCCTCACCTGAAGGTATTTTTCCATTGATTTTTACAAAGTGGAAGAGAGAGGGAAAGGCAGAGAGAAATATTGATGTGAGAGAAGCACATCGATTGGTTGCTTCTTGCATGAGCCCCAACCAGGGCCCGGGCTGGGGAGGAGCCTGCAACCAAGGTACATGCCCTTGACCAGAATCGAATCCAAGACGCTTCGGTCCGCAGGCTGACGCTTTATCCACTGAGCCAAACTGGCTAGGGGTGTCCAATATTAGTAAGGCAATGAAGTCAGTTCATATAAAAGAATTTTATAGACTTATTTATTCGCTCTATTGTCAGCCTAAACTTTTTCCTTTTGTCTTTAGAGAGAGATCATTTAATTTATTTACTTATATAATTCATAATAACATTAAGTTTAGTATAGCAGCTTATAACATACTCTTTAAATGATTTGTCAGGGTAGCAGGCTCCGTGGTGAGGAATATAATTTTGTCTGCTACCAGACTGGTTCCCCAATATATGCTCTTATATTCATTAGCAATGAATCTGATCTAGTATCCATCCATGGGCTGGAGAGTGAAACAAACGATGTGATATTTATATTGATAGCTACCATATATTAATACTAAAATGAGCCAAGCATTCTAAAAATTTTACACTTATTCAATTAATAAAGCCCCATAATATCCCTATGAGTTAGGTGGCATTACTATTCCTGTTTTATATGTTAGGAAATAGACACAGAAAGTCAAGGAACTTGTCCCAGAATTCCCAAGCATAAGGGCAGAACTGGGATTAATAACTGGCAATGTAGCCAGAGAGCCAGTATTCTTAACCAAAACTTTATGCCACTTGGAATGTTTTCATTCTTTCATTTATTATAGAGAAATCTATATGTAGTTGATTTAAAAGCAAATAATATTTGATATTGGGCTCAACAAAATTATGTTTAAAACATTAACATTTAATGGACCAGAATGACAAATCTCAGTAAAAAAGGTGGGGGGAGGGGTTGGGAAGTGATTAACCAAAGAACATACACGCATATATGCATAACCCATGGACACAGACGGTAGTATGAGAAGGCTTGGGCTGGGGCGGGACCTGGGTGAAGGGGGCAAAGGGAGGAAATGAGGAACATCTGTAATATTGTCAACAATAAATTTAAAAAAACATTGTCATTTAGCTGTGGATAAAGGTACATGTTTATCCTTCCGTAAATATACTAAAAGGATCTAGTTAGTTCACTGAAAACTAAGTCAAGTGGCCATTAGATTGAAAATAAAAGTCAACATAGCATTGAGTTACTAATCTGTTGATTTTACTAAACATTAAGTATTTTACTAAGTACCACACAGACATATAACAACCAATATGAGAATAAAAAATGTATACCACTCTTTGAGAATACTTGGGGAAAAGCACTTTTAATGGGAAAAAATAATCTAAATAATGTTGTAATCTTCAAACATTTCAGGGTTAAAAACACCTTTTATTTGAATACATATAACTATTTAATATATTCTAAAATTCTAGGCTATTCTCTTCAAAATTAATATAATTTTAAGAACCTTATTTCTATCTGTAATGTAGCCATCCAAGCATTTTACAGATCAGGACAATACAAGTCACTTATTAAACGACTTAATGCTGAGAAATATCAGTCCAGATGATACCAGCACAGACGAGGTTGGAAAGTATGAATAAGATCACATTATCTTCATCCTGATTTATAAGTGAAGGCGGGGAGTACTATTAGAGTCTTTGAGTTATTGTGGATCTTGATAATGCTGACAGTTAAATCAAAGAAGAAATTGCCATCAGTTTTAGCTATTAATTTCTAGAGCTTGGTAATATACTTTCTGTTGTATAAGACAAAGCACTAAGTATTGCACAGTTGTGCTCAATAGAGAATACCTTCAATTTGCATTTAGTTTCAAAAGTCATCTCTCTACCTGGTTGGCATGCAACCTGAAAATGTAAACAATTGCATTGTAAAGCCATCAAGAAAGCCAAATTACCTGGTATCCTGTAGCTTCAGAATACCTGGCTTCTTCTTCAGGATTAGCAGTTTCTGGCATTTTGCTGAAATTTAAAGTTTGTTAGAGTTCCCAATGGCCAATCAGCATGGGCTCACTTAGCACTAGCAAAAACAATTTGTTACCAGTGCCCACAGGCAACCATAGGGGGCAAAGTAATTTTAATCTAAAAATGTTTTTGCGGTGGAAAGCTGCTATCAAATGTTCCAGAAAGTGGGATAAACAGAAAATATAAATACCTCAGTTTGGTGTATCATGTTGTCAGATCATTAAGATTGATTTCAAAACTATTGATTAAGACTGGCTGAATAATTAACAAGTTTTAAAATGGAAAACATTTTAGCAATCATTTTACGTAGAAAGTTTATAATTTCAATTTTGTCTAAATTAAATTCAGTAACACTTAAGAAAAATGTTGAGTGCTTGTTGTGTGCCAGCCACTGGGGAAATAGCAGTGAACAAAACAGAAAAAAAAATCCCGTCTTCATATCTGTCTCCTGGTGGGGAGACAGATACTACACAGAATAAATAAGTAAAATAGAGTGAGTTATATAGTGACACAGACTTAGTCTAAGAAGAAAAAGCATTTCAGGAAGGGGGTGGGGACACTAGGTTAACATTTTAGACAGGGAATCCTGGGAAGGGCTCATTGAGAGGTGACTTTTGAGTAAAGACCTGGAGACATATGACTATCTAAGGGAAGAGCATTCTAGTCAGAAGGAAGAGGAAGAGGAGGGCCCAGAGGCAAGAGCCTGCTCGCTTCTTCCAGAAACAGAGAAGAGGTCAGCTTGGCTGAAGGGACTGACAAGGGGAATAACAGGAAATGAGGTCAGAAAGGCATCAGGTGGCAGGTGATAAAGGGCCTATGGCTCATGGCAAGGCTTTGGTAGGAGAAGGCAGCCCTTGGAGGTCTGGGTAAGAAGAGTGACTGAGGGAGCAAATGAGATAGGAATAGGCAGAGGCCGGCTGGGAAGCTCTTTGGGTAATGTGAGGAAGAGCTGATGGGACGTGAACCAGAGTGGTAGCAGAAGGGGTGGGGAGAAGTGGGTATGTTCTGAATGTATTTTGAAAGTAAAGGCAATAGAATTTGGTGATGCATGAGATGTGGGTCGTGAGAGAAAGTCAAGAATGAAGGATGATACCAAGTTTTTTGTTTTGAGCAACTGGAAGGATGAAGCTGCCTTTTATTGATATGGGGGAAACTGCAGAAGAAGTGGTTTGGGGGAAATATTGACAGCTTGGGTTTGACTATGAATGTTATTGAGGATACTGACTTTCTGAGTAGGTGGACACAGTATACCATATGGGAATATGCTTTTCTAGGACAATTGCCTGCTCTTCTGTTTTGCCCAATCTGGTTGTCAAAATTATAATTGCAATAGTTCAAGGGGTTCCAGTCAGTCTAAAAATATTATAATACCTTGAGGGGTAACTTATATTAGGAATCTGTGTGAAACATCAATAAAAGGTAACAAGTGTTCTTTATGACATACCAAGTGATGAGAACTACCTATAAACACAATTTTAACAGACCATAAATGATATCTAATGAGAGTTAAGTATAAACTCCCAATTTCTCCTAACTTCCTGTTTAGACAAAGAGAAAGAAATGAAACAAACAAATAGCCCTTGGATAGCTGTAGCTGAGAGAATGGTGTCTTTTCTAGTTCAGTCTAATCCCTGTTTTTGCTTCATCCAAATTCTGAAGCTCCTCTTCTGAGCAGCTGGAGCTGGTTTTTAAAACACTTGCTGGGACTAAAATTTGAGCTATTGAGCTAGGGCCACTGTTGACTCTCAGTCATTCACCATGGATTTTGGAGTATTTAAACATTATCATTGACAATGGAAACCTTTAACTTAATTATATTTAGAATCAAACTTACCTGAGTTCTAGTACTGACTTGCTGGGTCAGTTGCTTAAGCAACTAAATTGAGCTTCTGTAAGCCTCAAGTTTGCCATCTGAAAACAGGGGGAGCATAGTCATAAGCTAAATTTTTATTGAGTGGTTACTCTGGTCCAAGCATTATTTTAAATGTGGTACATTGCCCTAACCAGTTTGGCTCAGTGGCCAGAGCATTGGCCTGCGGACTGAAGGGTCCTGGGTTCAGTTTCGGTCCAGGTCACATTCCTGGGTTACAGGCTTGATCCCCAGTAGGGGGCATACACCCCTGACTCAAATGGCAGCCAATCAATGATTCTCTGTCATCATTGATGTTTTTATCTCTCTCTCCCTCTCCGAAATCAATAAATATATATCTATATAATAAAAGCCTAAGCAACCATTATCATGGAACTACCAGAACAACCTGTCGCTATGATGTGCACTGACCACTAGGAGGCAGACGTTCACCACAGGAGCTGCCCCCTGGTGGTCAGTGCGCTCCCACAGGGGGAGCACCGCTCAGCTAGAAGCCAGGCTCATGGTTGGCGAGCCCAGCAGTGGTGGCGGGAGCCTCTCCTGCCTCCACAGCAGTGCTAAGGAGCAGCAAGCCAAGCGCTAAGGAGCAGTGAGCAGGTGGGCGGTAAGGAGTGAGGGGTCCCGGACTGTGAGAGGGCGCAGGCCAGGCTGAGGGATCACCCCCCAGTGCACAAATTTTGTGCACCAGGCCTCTAGTATATATTTAAAAAGAGTAAACTATAACTATCTTTAATAAATAAATAAGGTGCATTAACTCATTAATGTTTACAAGAGCTCTATACTGCAGGTGCTGCTATTAT